TATTATTATTAGAATATATTTTATATAAATAGGAGTAGTTTTATAAGAGAGAGAAATAGAATAAAATGAACTTATTTTATAGTAAATTTTAAAGAATAAATTGTTGTAATAAAGATGTGACAATAGAGATAATACTAGTCTTTTATTTGTTAATCAATTAATTGTATACACTTTCTTCAATTTGTCATATTTATTTTTTATTTCTTTTATTTTTTTGTTTCTTATTTTATTTTTTCTTTTATGTAAAGGAAACCTTTTGTTAAACTTGATATTGCAGGTAATTTATCTGTAATCTAAAAAAACTGTATAATAGCATTAAGATCAGTTTAAAGTAAGTAACAGTTAATATAAAGTATTTATTTATTAAGAAATTTAAAGTTTATACAAATAATATAATCTAATTTAGATTAATAATAAAAAATATAAATTAATTTTATTTTTAAAATTGGATTTACTTCAAAACTTAATTTTTTTATTAAGAAATAGAGCTGAAAATAAAATAAAAGAAGAGTTAAAGTAATTAAAAATTTTTGAGTTATTATTTTAAAATTAGTTTCTAATAATTGATAATATTTAAATTATGAGAATAGTAAAAGATAATAAATATTATTATTTTATAAGATTAGTAAAGAAATAAATATTATATATGCTAAATAATAACTTTAAAATAAAAGAATATAAAGAGATTAAAATAATTGAAAATGAAAAATTATGATTAGTAATATTTATTATAAAAAATCTAAAAAGTTAGAAAATTATTAATAATTTTAAATAATTCATTATCAAATGTAATATTGAAAATGTAAATTATACAGACTTATTTATTAGTAGTAAATTATTTTAGATAAAAATATCTTAAAAAGTATTATAAAAGTTAACTAGTAAATTAATAATATCTGTAAAACTTTTAAGATAATTAATTTTACTATCTAAAATTTTAATTATTATTAAAATTCTATATTTAATAATAACTGAAGCAGAAGAATTAATTTCTAATTCTATAATATAATTTTATATTATAATTTTTAGTATTAGTCTTATTAGAGAAATTATTTTGATATCTAAAGTTTACTTAATAATATTTATCTATTTTATAATATAACTAAAATAATTATTAGTCTAAAATGAAATATAAGACTATATACAATAAAAAATATTCTAATACCTACCTATTCAATAATTAAGTTAATGTTGATTAATTTTTGTAATTGCATAAAATCCTAAATAAAGCAAATATCAGTATAAATTTTTTTTAGTTAAGATTATTCTGAACTTAAAAATAGTTTTTATTTTTTCTAGTTACTTTATAAAATTTATTATTAAATACTATAAAAGTAATTCTAATAAATTCTTTAAATTTATCATTATTTTTATACATGAAATTTTCTTTGGTAGTATCTCTAAATAGTTAATTTTTTAGCTTAGTAAAGATTATTTAATCATTATTATTTTTTATCATATTATAAGAATATTTTCTACTAATAATTTAAGAAATTAATTTTTGTTATTAATAATGATTTATGATAATTTTTTGACTATATTAGATATTAATAGAATATTAAGTTTGTAGTTAATTATTTTTATTTTAGTTATTTTTTATTATATTAATAAAAGTAATATTAAGATTAATAGCATTATATCTGAAGCTTTATAATTATTATATTATATTAATTAAAAGTTTTAATATATATATTGTATATTATAACTTATAAGATTTTTATACTTTTTTAGATAATCTTTAATTTAGTGGTGTAAAGATAAATAAATGGTACAAAGCTTGATATTAATTTTTATTCATTTAATATATTTTTATTAATAATTAAATTATTATTGCTGAGAATAGTATTTAATTTTAATTACTATTATACTAAAATTAGCTAATTATTTTTCTATAATATATTTTAAAAGACTTATAAAATTTACTATTATTTAATTCATCATTTTAAAGAAGATCATATATATAAAATTAAAATATATTATTGAGTAAGAATTTTCTTAGTTTATCTAAATATTAAATATTATAATAATTTATTATTATAAATTTTATATTTGTATACAGTCAACTCTTATTATAATGAACTCTATATCCTAGACCTCAACTTCGCTATAAGGCTATAGTGAAGATTTTAAGAGATTTGATTGGCCAATTCGCTATAACAAGAGTATTTTTATTATATTTGTTCAAAAAATTCATTATATTAAGAGTTTGCTATATCAAGAGTTGACTGTATTAAAATAAATAATCATAAAAAGATTTTTTTAACTTATAATTTTATAATATTAAATAAAATTTCAATAATTCTAATTATTTGTTGTAAAATAAAAAGATATTTTAAAATGATATTAAGAAATAAAAATAAATACTTTTTTATATTAATTAATTATAATTAATTAAATGCATTTTTTTTATTTTTATTAGTAAATAATTAATTGTCTAGATATTTTAATTGTATAAGATGATAAAAGAAATTATATTAATCAAAAATTAGATAAGTAATATTAATTATTTTTATGTATTTATCAATTAGAAAAATTCATTTTTGATAAGAAAATTTATGATTTTTACTTATAAAAAAATTTTAAAAATATTAGAAGAATTATCAATATTTATAATTACAGTTATTAAGTTTAATAGAAGAGATAATTAAGATATACAGAATTATTATTATTTTTTTTTTTTATTGAAGTAAGTGGTTAATTTTCATATTTTCTGAAATTTTTTATTATTATTTTAAAAATACTGCTTTTTTGTATTGAATTAGCAATTTTTAGATATTTTTTTTTTTAATTATTATTGCAATTTTAATAAAATAAAATACAAGTAATTAGTTTATTTTTTTGATTTAATTTTTTTCTTTTTCTTTAGTTTGATCATATTATAACAAGAATTTTTTTATATTTCTATGTATATTAATAATTTTTCTTTGTTATTTTTACTAATTTTTTTTTTTGCTATATAAATTATATAATTATTTAATAATTTAATTTTTAGTTTTTTATTTAAACTTTATAAACTATTTAATATATTATTATTATAGTAGCATTAGATAAGATTTTAGTTTATGTAATATTTTAATTTTTTAAATATAGTTAAATTATTAGATATAATTTTTATGAATATTTATAGGTTATCTTCATTTCTCTATTATTAAATTTTTATTTTATTTTTTTATAATATATTTTTTTATTAATAAAATTATATAATATAGCATTTATAATTTCTTTAATATATAATACCAATTATTTATTAAATCATTATATTTTAAATAATTAAAGTTTAAACTTTTTGAATTTAAATTAGCAATAATTATAAAATTTTTTAAAATTTTTTTAAGATTAAAATTGCATTTTAAAAAATAAAATTAAAAAATAAAAAAATTTTTTTAAAAAAAATTAAATTGCAATACTAAAATTTATTACAAATTACAAATAGTTGTAAAATTATAAACTAAATTTATAATGTTTTGTAATATTCATTTTTATAAATAGTATAAGTTGCAATTGTTATATCATAATTATTATTAATTCATTATAAAAAATTAATTATATTATAAGCATTAATATTTATTATTAATATTATAATTTTATAATATTTTATTAGATAATAAAAATTAAAAATTATATAAAAGCTGGTTTTCTTTATAGACTAATTTTTATATAAATTTTATTTAAATTACAATCCTTATTTATCAAAAAAAATGGTCAATAATTAAATTATAATAAGTCAACCAGTTTAAAATTGATTTCTAATCACATAATTAGATTGAGGTATAATATTAATTTACTTTTAAATTTATTACTAAATTTAATTAAATAAATCTTTAAATTTTAAGTTAAATAAATAGTAAAATTGATTCCAAAATTCTGAATATCTATCTATAGAATAACAATTATTTTTAAGGTTATATATTCTAATAAATAGAATCAATTGTCATAATACTTAATTTAAATGTTTAAAATATTGAAATGAATTTAATAACAGTAAATATTAAATTTTAAGTATTTAAATATTAAAATAATAAGTTATAAACTTAAAACTATTTTTTAAAAAAATGAATTATTCACTAAATATATTTTTAAAAATAAATTTCATTATTTTTATTTAAAAAATAAAAAATAATTATATAAACTTAAATATTTCATATTACCAGACCAATCAAAGTAAACAAATCCAAAAATTACAAGAAATTATTTAAATTATAAAAAGTTTGTAATAAAATTCATCTCTCATATGAATCGTTGTATCAGATTTTAGAAATATCACACTACCAAGATTTCACCAACACGTTAATATAATCGAAGAAATTTCTATGATCTCAACATATATCTCTTAAACATTCACGTAATAATTAATAGAGACCTTGCACCAATAGAAAACCAATCCGTATATAAATCTCCAAGATGGAAAATATTCAATAACCTTATGCGAACCAAACTTGTGATCAAACCTATTACGAATTCCTACTAAAGTTTAGATTTGGAAAAATAGAACCTTTTATCTGAAATACACACTACAATCCAACAATTAATATGATCTAGACAAACTAAATACAACACATATAGTTGAATATAAAGAAATAGCATCACAAATCAACCAAACAATATGCAACACTATAAACGGAAAAATAGAATATATCAAATTAATAAACCTACCAAAACGGTATGATTACAAGCCTATGTAGCATTAAGCAGATGCAATAACTGAGATAATGTGAAATTGGGATCATTGGATCAAAGGACACGAAAGACTAAATCCTCCATAAAAAACCACACAAAAAAAAACAAATTCTCATACAAAATAACAAAATCACTACACATAAATTCCCCCCCTAAAAAACAATATAAATTTATCATAACACAATTTTTATTACCTGCGTTAAAAGTCAAAATTCGGCTGATTAACCAATCAAATTGAATGAAATTGACCAATCAAATTAACGTTATATATATTTCCTGAATTTTAGCTAAAGTTTTTTGCCGCTCCTTTATTAAACACGAGTATGGATTACTTTAAAAATTTAAAGAATAGAATAACGCCTCAAAAGACGCAGCCTACTCATGCTGAGCAGTTAGCAAAATTTCGTAAGTCTTGGAAATATATCGAGGTGAGTGGAGGTGATCAACTGATGAACCTCCCTTTTTCCTTGTTAAAGCAGATAAATACTATTTACTTTTCCTTGGAATCAGTTGAAAGATAACTCACTATGCAAAGACTTTAAATCGCGCCTGTTAATGTAAACATTTCAGGCTCATTTCAATAATGACGATAAGAAACCTCCCGCAAGTCATGTCCTCCAAACCGAAATTCCTGATCATCTCAAGACCATGGTGGACCTCCTTGCTGACGAAGGCTTAATGCTTGAAGATGTAAACACAGGTCTTTGCATGGAAGAATTCTTGAAAAATAACGTTCTTAGAGAATTGGAAAAACTTGCTGAAAATGATATTCCGAAGGGTATTCGTGGTGAAATTATTCGTACTGTGGCTCAAATGATCAATTTATTGGATGATCGATTTTTGGTCCATAATGCAGTTCATCAACCTACCGTACAACTTTTGCGTACGTGTGTTCACGATGAAGGTGAAAAATACGACGAAGATTTGGTAGATTTAATGTACATTATTTGTTCAAAAATTCATGCATTCCCCGCACTTTTGAATATTTTTTTCCATGATACCCATTGGCTACATACCCCACAAAAGGCAAATTTAAAGAAAGAAACTGGCCAAGCAAGCTTCTCATCAAATAGTAGCCAGGATGGAAATTTTGATGATGGTGCTTCAATATCAACTAACGTAACTACATCAGCTACAAAAACTACAGAGTTTACGGAGGAAACTGAAAAACCAGTATATGAATTTTTACTTTTTACATACCTATTACAATTTCTTCATAGAGAAGGTAAGAGTGGCGAAATCGCCAGATATGGACTTCTTTTCATTATAGAACTTGCTGAGGGTCCATTAGGTGATTTCATTCTTGAAAGTGATTTCGCTACAATTATGGCTGCAGGATTGGGTGCTCTTTATTCTCAATTGCCTCGAAAATTGATGGTTAAGAGTTCAAGTGGTGGCTTAACGAATGCCACTTTGTTAGGATTTGGTGATAACACTAGCGCAGAGTTAGAACGATTACGTTCCGGTGGAATCGAGGTTTCTTCATCGACTGTTTTTAAAAGTCAATTAGATTCATTCTTAAAGTTATTAGAATTCTGTCAAGATGTGTTAAATGAATGTCCCAACTTGAATATTTCTAGAGAATTACTTAAAAACGTAAAAACAAATTTCCTTGAAAACATTTTATATCCATCAATTATGGAATGTTCCGATTCCGATGGCTCAGCTGTTGCTGTAATTTCTTATATTGACATTATTATGCAAACATTGGATCAAGAAGAATTGGTGGACGTAGTAGTAGGGTTCTTAATGGATTCTGATGGTGACGATGAAGAATTTTGGAAACAAACAGTAACGACAAACAAAATGTTAAAACGTCAAAGTACAATTAATCTGTTCGAAGGCATTGAAAATAACCCAATTAAATCATCTCCTTATTTTACTGCCACTGGTCGATTTACTCTTAAAGATCTTATTTTTTCGCGCCTTCGCTCCTCTTCACAACAGACTGTTATTGCAACTCTAAAACTGCTTCATACTGTAATCTCTAAACATTGCAGGTATTCTTTGAAATTATTAAATATCGAACTGGATGAAAATGCTACGTGCTTCCCAAAACCAAATTATTTAATTGAAGATCTATTTAATGTTGAACAACACGGTTTAGAGAGAGAGAGAGAAAGAGAGACCAGTTTTGGTCAACAAAAACTTACAACCATTAGTCATCATTTGAGAGAGTTAGACCTTTTCTTTTCTCTAATTTCTGCTATTGATCCAACACAGAACATGGAAATATTTACTAATGGTTATGATTCTTATGTTCGTGATGCTGAAATGATTATAGAGGCAGATCGATGTTATATTAATGGTCAGGATATGGAATGGACGGAAGAAGGTCCTGTCAAACCAAAATCAAATAAATCGAATAAGCAAAGGTTGACTTATAGTCATGGAAAGAAATGTGGATCCAAAGGCATGTCTGCAGTACCGAAGCATCGTTTGAATCCTACAGATCGTAATCCAGGCGATTCACTTTTACAAATTCTTCTTGGCACTCTTTCTAATTTTTTTGCACATTCACCCGAGTTAAATTTAACTTTAACTGGTGTATTGTCTGCTTTAGCTGTTTGTCCTTATAGATCATTAGAAGGTTGGCTTGTATTTAGTGGCATTGATAGGTTAGATAATCATCGTGATTATTCAATGAAAGGTTTTGAAAACCTTCATCATGAAACGAGAAATTTAGAAATATTATCACCTGGTATTAATAATCACGAAGGTCACGCCAATTCCGACAGTACCGATAAAGCTATCAATGACTTTGATGAAGCAGATGATCGTTCCATTGATTATGATGTTGATAAAAGTCCATCTGCCGTTAAGGCAATTGGCGCCACACCAATGTGGACAAATTTCCCACCATTCTTCACTATTTTCAAAACTCTAACGCAACAAGTTGATTATTATCGTAGTGAAATTGATGGATTTGATCAATATCTTGAAGAAAGAAGGACCGGTTTACTGGATGCAGATGATGGGATTGATGAAAATTTCTTTAAACAACCCTCATTCCTTCCTACACGTACTCCGGCCAGAAGAGGTAGCACCGCAGCAAATCATTCATCAACACCGAGCCCTTCGGCAAAAACTCGTAGAAACACATCTCATTCTCCTTCTTCAGCTCATCGAGATCCTAGAAGGGCAAATTCATTATCACGTGCGGAATCGTCATCACCCATGGGATCATCCGCACCTCTATCATCTTTCTCTAAATCACCATCTGTGTCTTCAAATATCATTACACCCCTCTCAACACATTACAAGAAGACCGAAGATATCAGAATTCTGCCACTATTTCCAACTCATTTCGTTAATGAAGAGGAAGAAGAAGATTCTATTGACTATGGTGATGAAGAAGATGAGGATGGATTTGCATCAAGGAAACAAACTAGAACCAAAACAAAAGAAACGAAACCTAAAGAGATTACATTAAGCACACTTTTAAATAATGTTGTTATTTTAGAGGAGGCTGTTAAAGAATTAGTTGCGATAGTACAAGTGAGAAGAAGTCTAGGTGTCGATGAAGTTAGATATTTGTAATATTGCATGTATGATTATTTATTTATTTGGTAGATGCTATAATATAAAATTTGGATATTTATGTCATAATGTTTATTTTATCTATATTAAGAAATGTTATATATTATTTCATTACAAATTAAAACTATTGTATGTATAACTGTATCACATCATTACTTCATCATTTTAAAAGTAATGAAATTATTGAAATTATTAACTATTTTCAATGTGTAATAAACAAGAAAAATTAGAAAAAGTTGTAAATTTCTCAGTTATTTATCATTTTATTTGTTTATTTGATATTTTATAGGAGTTATCACAAATTGACCAATAAAAATTGTCCATAGGTTAAGCGTCGATTAATTTGATTAATTTGGACACAACATCAACAACTCATATTATCATCCTTATTGGCTAATCTCCTTAACATCCAAGTAAGATCGCTAATTTGTCACTTAAGAAATTGAATTCAACTCAATTTTGATCAAATTTTCGAAGCGACACTTTTTTTTCATTTGAAACTCAGGAAATTAATTTACAGTCTCGTTACGCGAAAAAAAACGTGTTTTTTGTTTCTACTACAGATATTTGAAGGTCAGTATTTTAGAAAAAAGCATAAAACGGATGAATTTAGAAGTGTGAAACCTATACAGTATGTGATATCTACCTCGAGCGCTTCTCCTCTCCAAATTTTTCTTCACATTCTTGTTACCTTATATCATCCTTGTATTTTTAAAGATTTTTAAAAAATTCTTGTAACTGAAATAAATTTATATTATAATGTTAAAACGCGTAGCAATGGGCAAAATAAAAGTACTCCTCACTCAGTATAACACTCGATCTGCAAGAAGAACGATTCCTACCCCTGAATCTTCCAGCCAACCTGATACACCAGAAGGTGTTTCTCAGATCATGAATACTACTGTTCAACAAGCTGTCGCTGGTAATTCAATAGCGATACCTACACCCGAACCTTCTGCACAATTAAACTTGACAGGAAAAAATATACATATTGTAAGCAACGTAGTACCTACATCAACTATCATTTCAACTGCCATTTCAGACCGGATATGTGGCAATCCTAACTGTCAAACAAGGGAACCTTCTGCCTGGAGAAGAGATCTTGCCGGCACTGGCTGGCTATGTAACGCTTGTGGTTTGTTGTATGTTTTAATTTAACATTTTCTTTTTTCTTTTTATCATACGATAAAATTATTAATTTGTTATTTGTTTATTTACAGCATACGAGCTCGAGGTTTTCATCGACCTAAAGAGGTTTGCTTGGCTTCTGCAGCAAAGGTAGGTAACATTTGAATATTTTATATCTATTGTTAAGAGTGTCTAACTTTGATTGCATTCTTTTGATGTCTAGTTATTGGCAATGTATAGCAACTCACAATCTATGAAGCCGCAGAAAAACGTAAAGCGACGTAGAGTAAGTATTTTGTTGTTATCAATGATTCGAAAATTGTAGTGCATTCATTATACAGGTTACATGATCATTGTTTAAATATTTTTATGTGATTTTTTTTTATTTTAGCCTCAAGATGATGGTGGTGATCATGATAATGACAACGGAGCACTAACATCAGCTGCACAAGAACAATCTCGTGTTGATGAAGATATCGTGACATCAGAAGCATCAACACCGGCGCCTATGAATGATGTAAACAGCAGCAAAACTGAAAAACGTCCATGGGATAAGAAATCATATTTGAATTGTGGTTTATATTCTGTTGATCTCAAGCATAAAGATATACCAAAAAGACGTAATAAGGTCAAGCAAAAGGAGAGATCAATTGTAACTCTTCCTCTTCCGATACAGTTCGGCACATTTCTGATGACAGAAGAAAGAAATTTTCGCTTGCCTTGGGATATAATGATTGCTCATAAGCAGAAAATGTTAAAAAGACGTCCTACACCATATAAGAAAATTCCTTGCAGTAAGCATTTATTATTGTTTAATTATACCCTTTAATGGTAAACGATATGTTTACAAATTCAAAATTTTGTTCAATAGATATTTTCGTTGAGCGTAGACGCAAGCATGAGAAGCCGGTAGTTTGTCAATGTGCCCAACCTAGTGATGGTGGTATTGGATGTGCAGAGGAATGTTACAATCGGTATTGTTAGCCTTCCCATAAATTTGATCTCCGAAAGTCATTTTATAATTCATCAAATAATATTTGCAAGTTTGTTTTTTATTTCATAGTGTGATGTTCTATGAATGCTCTTCCAAAGATTGCCCATGTGGTGATAATTGCTCTAATCAACGGTTTCAAAAGAAAGAACGCGTAAAAGAACTTGAGGTGATTGAGGTAATAGCTTGCTTACTTTTGTCATGCAAATCTGTAACCTTTGCACGTGAATTGTCGCTAAATATGTTATCTATTAATTTTAGACCCCGAACAAGGGATTTGGTCTTCGCACGAAAGTGCCTGTTAGAAAAGGCCAATTAATAATAGAATATCGCGGTGAAGTAATCTCACACGAAACAGCAAAGCAACGAATGGAAACACTATATAAGAATAGAAGACACTCGTACTTTTTGGATTACGAAAAGGGCGAAGTTCTTGACGGAGGTTCACGTGGCACAGAAGCCAGATTTATCAATCATAGGTATATTTCATAATCCTTATTTATTACTATCATTATTACTTTTAAAAATTCTTGTTTAATGAAGTACTTATTTATTAATAGCTTTGTTTTATTTGTAAATTTAAGCTGTGCACCGAACTGTCATATTGAAAAATGGTAATAATTCATTCAAATTTAATGCTGTAAAGTTCGTAATTTTAGTTTTTAATATTAAGGAAACATTTTATAAATAGGCGAGCCCCACAAGGCGAACTTTTCGTTGGTGTATTTGCATCAAGAAATATAGCGGAGGGAGCTGAGTTGACATATGATTATAACTTCTCGAAGTTTGGTGGTGCTGAGGAGCAGTTATGTTACTGCGAATCAACTATCTGTCGTGGTTTAATGGGGTCCAAACGGGGTCAGAAGGAAGCAATTAAACCCCCAAAGAAGAAAGTAAAAGTTAGCGGGAGCAAGGTATTACCTTATCATTTGTAAAGAAAAATTATTTTATTATTTTGACTTTATATTCAAATCTTTCAATTATAAAATATATTTTACTTTACAGGGAGCTCCCGCAACTACCGAAACGATGGTAGATACGCCGCTCTCGCAGCGAGGGTTGTCCGAAACATCAGACCAAAGAAGTTCAATTGGCGAGGAAATGTTCACGGGACTTTTATCTGATGGATCACTTTCATCGGTTGATTCATCATTGGCTGCGACGCCAATCAAGACGTCGCCCTCCATAACTCCGTCTACCACAAGCAATCCGCTATTATTTGCGGTGGATATGCTTAATGGCTTAATTGAGTTGTAAAGGCAGTCATCAAAGACTCATTGTGTAAAAAAAAAAAAAAAATTTATAAAAAAAAAAAAAAAATTTTAAAAAAAAAAAAAAAATTTTAAAAAAAAAAAAAAAAAATATTCAAAAAAAAATTAGATTATGTTAGGCCTTTTATGATATTATTTGTAAGTATAGATACTTTATTTTGAAAAAATTAATAATATATAATGGGCATTTAATACACCAGACAAAGTGTACATAGTGAAAATATCGCCATAAAAAAGTTCAATATTCAAATTCTTAATACCAATATTTTCTTATGAATTTATTTTGCTTTTGATGTCTATGTCCCATAGTATTTTTTTTTTAATTATCCAATAGCCTTCGTATAGGTAACCGGATTAATTAATCAAAAGTAAATTTGCTTGATCTTATCCTAACTTTCACTAATCGTTGTAATTCAAATAAATAAAAATTTTTTTTTCAGTTAGATTATATATAATGTGGTTTTTCTTTAATGCATTCAATTAATTTCTTTAAGTTTAATACTTAATACCGCTATTTTAGCATTTGCTTCTCTTTAATCGAATCTGATCTAATACTTATCTTTGTAAATATATATATAGTATTCTTACAATTTTTCACACTTTTTTTAATTTGTAGTTTATTTTAATCATATTGTTTTTAGAATTGCAAATATATGGTTTCTTTTTACATCAAAACACTAAAAATAAAAATCTAAATAAAATTTATTTTAATTTTTTAAAATATTAAATATAATTTTTTTTTCTTTCTTTCTTTATTATTAATTTTATTAATATTTTTTCATTTTTATTATATTATTTTTAATTAAATTTTTTAAAAATTAATATTATTGAAACAAAAAAAAAATTCTTTTAGATTAAATTAAATTAAATTAAATTAAACTTTTATTATATAATCTAATCTAATTTAATTAAATAATATAATATATAAATTATTCAACCAGCTATATAATTCTAATAAGAATTCAAAATTATTCCTTAAACTGTAGAATTTCACAGACAAATTTGCCTGCTTATTTACTATAAATTTTTTTCTTATTTACTTTTATTAAAAATTAAAATTTTTTTAAATTAATTTTATAAATATATATAATATTATATTATAGTAACTTTTATTTAAATAATATAATAAATAATTTAAGGTTACTTATAAGCTAAAAATTTGTAATTTTTAAAAAAATTTTAATATTAATCATAATAGAATATTATAAAATTTATTATGAAAAATAACTTTAATTATTACAATTTTTATAATTTATTAAGAAATTTTATGACTTTTTTTAATAGTAAAGTGATTCAATTAGTTTATAAACACGAATTTTAAAAAAATTTAAAAATTATTATAATAAATTTTTTAAAACTTAACTTTAAAAATTGAATTATTTAAAAAACTTTTTAATAAACTTAAAATTTTTTCTAATAAAGTTGATAAAATATATATTAAATTATATATTTTATATAATAATTATATGTTTAACAATAATATTTAATATTTTAATACTTTTTTTTATATTTGCAAGCAAATTATCTATTTTATAGTTTAAAGGATAATAAAATATTTATTTTCTTTTTTATATAATAGTAATTCTTTAAACTTAGTCTATATTTTTCAT